TTGTTTTACTTCACTCAATTGTGACTACTCTTTTAACATTTATAATATCCAATAGGTGTGAGTTTGTTCTGTTTTTAATATTCATTTGTCATTATTTCTACTAGGGTTGGAAAAGAAACAGCTGGTTGATTGGCTTTCTTTCTTGGATGTTCCTCCCTTAAGGATGACCAAAATTAAACTCTAGGAATATTCTTGCTTCTTAGGAGTCAGCCAAGAGTCTGACATGGCATTGAGGCTACTGAGGTGTTAGAGGATCTTTTATGGCAAAGGTTTATCACATTTCAATACCTGCTTCTTATTTCTAAGTTTAAAAAAAATTTTCCTATTCGTTTTGCTTTGTTTTTTGCATTTCTTAGCCAGTGTTCTTTTCATTTTCTGTTCTTCACAGCATTGCAGATGCCCCCCTCATAGAGATGTATGTCCAGGGACTCAAGACTCCACTCTCTTCATCTCCTCCAGTTGAACGTACCCAGGCTCAGGTAAGTGTTTCAGGTCTGCCTCTTGCCTTATGCCTTTTAGTGGGTTTGTTTGCTTTAAATGCCAAAAACATAAATTCTACTGAGGAGGTACTAACTATATAGGAGGTTGAAAATCTTTGAAGACATACGTGGTATGATGAGGTTATTTGAAATAGGTTGCTTAAAATTTTTATATGAGATGTCTTTGGATGGTAAAAGAGAGCAGTGGGATTTAAAGACCAAGATTCTGTTCCTGACTCCATCGTTAATCAGTGATAAATGTTTAATGAAGTGTCTGGATATCTTTGAGCACCACTTCAAAGAGGGGTGCATTGTTATAGCCCACCTTCTCTCTCTGTGATTTTAGGCCATCTCTGTTAAGTCTGTTATTTTCACTGAAGTTGAAGTTGGCAAAATACTTGGTGGCTAAGTTATGTGTATTTTCAAAACACAATCTGATAAGAATAAATTTGTTTGTATTCCTTCACAGATATTTACTGTTTTTAAGTTCTTGCCTATAGCTAAAGTCTGTATGTGAAGCATGGTTAACAGTTCTTTGTGTAGTTGTTGCTAACAGAAATTTTATCTCAAAATCAAATTTTAAGGAGGGCTACAAGATTTTCAGGGGGAGGGTGATAAATTAAAGGTGAACTAGATCAGTGTCTCTTGCTTTGAGATGCGTTCTGTAAGCTGTCTGAATAGGGAAGACCCCTATTTCAAGCTTTGGAAACATGCACATCATCTTTGAAGTACTTTTCCCAGTGCAGTGTTTTCATTTGAGCATGCTTATTTGTGTAATGACTCTCTCCTCCATTTTTCTTTCTGTCCATCCGACAAATCTTTATTGAGATCCTCTCTAAGTTAATAAAACTATGGCCCTTTCCCTCAAGTTGGGAGAACAGGTAATGATCAAATCTATATATGCCTGATGATGATAGACATCTCAGAAGAAAATCTAAAGCAGGAGACTGGAAGTGATGTGATCATTGGGAGGATTAGGTTGTCTCACTTACAGTGGTGAGGGAGGGCCTTTCAGGGAGTGATGTGTGACAGCAAGGCCCCTGAGATTGGGGTGTGCTTGGCCTATCCAAGAAACGGCAAGGAAGCCAGAGTGGCCGAAGCAGAATTTGAGGGGGAGATGAGGCCAGAGGATCACAGCCGGTTCCATGAAGGCAGGACCTTGCCTGCAGTTGCATGATGTTGTGTCCCGAGTGTCTAGCACAGTGTCTGTCTCACAGCAGGTGCTCATTCAGTAGTTGTGCAGTGAGTGAATACTAGCAGTAACAGACATTTCTGGGTGCTTGTGTTTATTTATGTAATCCTAACAACAATCATAGGGAGTGTCATTAGTGCCATCATTTTATGAAGGAAATGACTGAGTCACAGAAAGGTAAGTAACTTGTCCTAGGTCTTTCACATAGTAAGGGGCGGAACCAACCCACAAGAGTTGGTTCCAGGGCCCACACTCTTAACTGCAGTCCTACTTAGCCTCATGTAGATTAAATGCTTCTTGACTATTGGTGCTTAAACAAGATCATTCATTCATTCCAGAAAATTCGTAAGCCTCTGCTTTGTCAGATTCTGTTCTAGGTGCTAGTGATATATCCATGAACAAAGCAAATGAACATTCCTGCCCACATGGAGTCCTGTGTCTTAG